TAACCCCAGTAAAAAATGAAAAACCGAAAAACCGCTGAATCAGAAGAAGAAACTGTTTTGCAATGCGGCGAATTTCTCTCGAAAGCAAACATTACTCCCCTCCCCCCCCCCACCTCTCCCAACAACCAGCAGATGCAGCCTTTCCCCACTGGAAAAAAAGAATTAAGAAGAATAAACTGTCGAAAAATTTTCTTCAGACCTTTTACGACCCCTCCCCTTCCGTTCATTAACCACTTGCGACCCCCCCCCCCCTTTTGCTGGGGATTCCCCAACGTGGGGAATACCCTGCCTCCCCTCCCCCTAGATCCGTCCTCTCATCGAGCTGTCGAGGGAACGGGAGGGATGGGGGAGAGGTATTTAGTACATATGAAACAAAAAACCCACGAAAAAAATCAACAAAGCTTTTTCAGAATTCCAGAAGGCAAACACTATTCCCTCCCTCTCGACAAAGAACAATTACGGCTTCTCCCCTTTATAGAGTCCCTGGAACACGAAAAATCAACTATTAAAAAAATTTTTCTCGGATCAATTACAACCTCCCTACCGCCAGTGACCAAATACCACTCTCCTCCTGTTGGGGAATCCCCAACGTCGATGTGTCCCTGATCCCAATCAAGGGTCCAAAAGCTCTGTCTTTTGAGCGTCGTTGGAGCAAAAGTCCCGCAAGGTTCAGCCGGCCGCCCCAGTACTGGAATGGTCTCCAACGTATGCGATGACATGGCCAGCGGCTTTCACTGGGTCTCACTAGGCCTATGGAACGTGGACTTCGGCGTGTCTAGGTGTTCCCTTCGTTTTCCGTCTACTTCGTTTGTTACGCGCCGCTGTGCTCTGTTTTTTTCCTGAGCATGCTGTCCCGATAACAACTTTAATCAACCGCCTTAATTTTTTTTGTGGTTTTCTATGAAACAATTAATCTTCTTGTTACATTGTTTTGCGAAACAAAGTTTTCATGTGCAGTGCAAAATAGTATGACAAAACCATCAAGAGGCGCAACATTTTGGTTTCTTCCAAGTTTTTCTTTCTATCAAAGTAGATGGCGTATCCACCAAGCGTCCCCTTGTTGCCTTGCACCATATTCCTTTGCACCATGTATCTAGTTGTACAGGGGGGGGGCAAAAAAAAGTCGATTCGCGCCGAGTCAGCATCTGAGCGAATATTTGTCGGCAGACCCCGACAGAGGAAGTGGATACTAGTACCGGGAGGTGGAAGAACTACCTCAGATCTTCTCTATAAGCTGGAGCGACGGGTGGCGGCGCGAATCGCCTTCAAGTACCACAAAGATAGTAAGTCATCTCCAGTCGCGGCCTGACTGGAGAACACCTTTGGAATTCACGTCGCCTCCAAACAGCTGCGAAACTTCTTGAATGAAGTCATCCACAGATAGCTACCTGGAGGTCAGTACTCTTGATCTGCAAGACCTCCCACATCGACGACCTACGCCTACGGCAACGTCGCTGACGGTCTAGGACCGTCATCTTCACGCCCCAATTCCCAAGGCGTGGTTGATGGGTGTGGACGCGGCGTGACCGGTGGAATGAATGAACCGATATTTTCTTTGTAGACCCCGACTGAAGGTGAGCGCTGGCGGTTACATCAAGTAACTCGAGAAGGATATCCTCCCTACATGTGGTCGCCCGTACCTTCTTGGAGACCTTGTGCTGCTACAGGTTTGGGTGCCACCACATGGAATCGAAGGGTTTTGGAAAAACTCCCGCCTACTTCGAATGGAAGGGCGTTTCGTACCTGAAGAAGATGTAATATTGAAGTATGTCCCCTGACCTGAATCCACTCAATTACCTTAGTTCCGGGCGAGAGTTCAAGAGGTGGTCCTAAACTGGTGCGGAGAAATCAAGCGATCACCTCACACACTCCGGTACCCACGTCACTTTCGCGGCGCCGGACTCCTCGACGATGGCTTCCTTCAGCAGCTGGTGAGGAGCCATGCATTATAGTATTTAATGTGGCTCTTCAATATGGTAGTAAAAATGTCCGATAAAAATTTAATAAAGTGTAACTTATAGCGCCTTGAAAGTCATGGAGGCAAAATGACTTTTTTTTGGCCCCCCTGTATATTCCTTTGCACCATGTATCTACATTTTCTTATCTTCTCTTTATTTATTCATTTCCCTACCTAATTCATCTCTTTTTGCAGATTCTCCCAAAGAACTCGAAGCCTTGGAAGCGGAAGTGGCTAGCGTTATTCGACAGGTGGCGGTGTGGACGATGGAGTTAGAGGAGGTGAATGCAAGCCGTTTGGAGATTGAGGTAAGTCAGACAGATCAGAGTTCGAAAAAGAACTCTCAGCTAGCAAAGAGCTGATAGCAATTGAACGAGAGCTTCATCAATTGCACTTTCTCTCTGCAGATTCGCTTCCTGCAATTGGGCTCGGAGTTGAAGAAGAGCGTGACATGCGTGCAGTTAGCCTCAATTGACTTCGAACTCATTCAAATGAGACACAATGAGCGATGGAGGCGTTTTTTGGCCGACCATGTGCCTCCCGAGAAACTGCTCACCCTCTCCAAAATCCCTTCCTAAACAGGTCATACAAAATGGTATCCTTTCGCTTCTGATAACATCTTTTGCACTTCTCCATGACTCCATGTTCGTCTCTAGAGTAAGTCCAGGCTTACTGCAGCCGCTTCTGATCACCTGGTACGCCAAGGTATCAGCTTTTCCAACTGTTCTGGCTTAGCCCATCAGCTTCGTCTGTTACGCGGTGGCTTAGAGCCCTGGTTAGATTGCACCGAGTCCAGTCACAAACACGGTTACTTAGTAATTCTGTAGGGTACTGTAATTCTGTTTTTTATTGTTGTGATCACGAGTAAGGCGTTACTTAGCGATAGTGTTATATTGTTATATGGGAAGAATTTAGGTGACCTAAAATATATGCTGTCAATTTCACAGATCATTGTTTTTTATTGTTTTCCCTATGTACCACTCTGCTGATCCATGAGAAATTCCTGTGCATTTCTGCGATTAGCGATAATTTTCAGATGTGCTGTATCGTGGAGTGTCTTTCTACTGTAATTTTGTAAAGATTCTTCTATACATATCGTCCGCTTCAACTGATGATGTTCCCCCTTACAAAGAATAAATCTCTCAACTGCTTTGTAAAATTTTTGTCATGAGCCTATCAGAAGGGGAAGGAGTCTTCCATTTCGTGAAGCGCTTCTTTAAAGCGGTTCTGTTAAATGTGGAATGGCAGCGTTAACGAGAAAGTATAGATATCAATACACCAGCGTTCACCAGCGACCGGACGTAGAGAGTATTGGGGAAGTAGTAGGATCGAAAACAGCTGGATTAGGCGTCGTGAAGTTGAGCTTGTGCAACCGCACCGCACAACTACACTACACTGTACATTAAACTGCATAATTCTGCGCTTCAGCAGTTGTACGGTGTAGCTGCACACGCCGCAATTTCACGACGCCTAATCCAGCTGTTTGCTCCCTCCTACTTCCCCATACTCTCTACTTCCGGTCGGTGAACGCTGGTGGACGCTGGCAGACGCTAGATCGATACCTATACTTCCTAGTCGCTGACGCTGCCGGACGCTGGGAACGCTGGAGGACGCTGCCGCAAAGTATGAACGCTGTTTAATCTTGTTGCACTAAGCACCGTTTACTGCACTAGTAAGAAAAGGGTTTGAACTTCCCATAGTTGTGAATGAAAACCTGATTCACCTAGAGTTCGGAATGCTGGTCACCAATATTGAAGTTAAAGTTGCTGCCTGAAACTTCTAAGCGATACCAATGCCACCGTACTCGTTTGATACTCTGGCACAATTCGGGGAGGGGGTATTATATGGTATATACACGGCTACGATTGTACAACCACCTAGTGAAGCAAGGTCAAAGATCACGTTGAGGAAAATTGCTCCGTCAATACGACCCCCATAAAAGGTGTTAATACGACCCTTTCCCTACGCGACCGCTTCGGTAAGCTTGGCTACTCAGAACGAATCAGTTGCGTCGCATTTCAGCGATGGAGCGCACTATTTCACCCTATACTGCCGTCGCTGTACCAAGAAAATTTTTCGAAACTTCCTTCAGGAAGAGCATTCTGCGAAGCTGCCGACGGGATCCGTGATCACTTGGTAGCTTTCAACAGAAAAGTACGATCACAAAAGGTGTTGGGGCTTCATCTCGAAAATAGCGATGAAATTTTCTAGAGAGCGCGATAGAAAACAAGACAACAACAAAATACTACGACGAAATTTTCCGGAAAAGCCCAACCTGTGAAAAAAATTCGCCGTTGAAGATTTTTCACGGTGAACAAGAAAACTACATTCTTGAGCGCGAATTGCTCCTCCTTCAAGAGGTCACAACTTCGTTCGCACATAACTATTGGAGGTGATTCGGAAAATACAAGCTGCTTGAATTTGCGCTAATTAATGTGCATTGAAATTCTGCCACAGCTTAATTATCTAGCGCGAAATGCTGCCTGCAAATTGAAAGGGTAGAGATTTCCAAGCTGTTAGAGTGAGTATTACTATTTCATTCCCCATGAATCCTTCCAGATCCCATGGTATGCCTACAGTCCTCTACCTGTAATTATTGTCAGATGACCAGAAGAGGGATTTATAGGCTCAGACACGAGGCGCGCCACGCACACGACTTCGAAAATTAAAGTCATCTTATTCCATGAAACAGCTTTCTGAGTCTGACGACTTAATCCCTGCAGATGAAGGCGTTTAACGCATTCCCGCAAAGCGATACTTTTTTTGAAACCACCACTACAGATCCGCTTTTGACCCTTTCCTGCACACACTCTGCCACAGTTCTGTTGACTTCTGGATTTTAACAGATACGACTCCCCTCCTCCTCCTTCCGTCGAGCCAGATATAACCCCCTCGTTTAGTATCCTTCAACGGATGCTTGACCCTGTCATGAAGGCATGTGAACTTCTGTGAATAAGGGATCTCTTTTGCACCTTTTCGCAGCTCCACAAGGGTTCACAGGACTCACCAATATGAGGCTTGTTAAAGGCAGTTGGCACGATAAATCTATACAGGTGTAGGATTTGTACAACTGGCTTAACAGAATTCCGTGACCTCGGACAGGCGCTGCGTGAAGCCTTTTCCAAGGAGGGTACCTCTATAACGCCCTATTGAGCAACAACTTTACGTCCCAAACGCCTTCCTTGCCCGCCCACAAACGACGCTCGTATTCATTCATTTGCTGAGCAAATTATGAAGCAAAGGGATTGGTATGAAGCGGCGTGATGCTGCATGCATATATGGGTACACATATGCAGCCGTATCTTCGGTAGCGGTGATTGGTAAGATGCGTACGGGAAACTCGTCCGAAATCGATTTACAAGTCACTGAGAACGGAGGCTTTTTCTTCGCCGGATTTTGACCGTTTCACTCCGTTCTTTCGCCATTTCCCCACTATACAGCGCCCTACTAGCATTTTAGGCTAAGTAGGAAACCATCGTGCCAACTGCCTTTGACTAACATGAACTAAAAAAGGAACTAGCGAAAAAGCAAAATGTCACTCCACCCTCCCGGGCATTCAAACGAAACATCTAACCCTGAGAAGTACTAGCAATTCCACAACCTCACGAAATGCACCCTGTACCCATAGACACAATGACTTTTCCTGAACTGGAGCGCCAAAAAAAAGACAAAAAAAGAGGAACTCAGCTCTGGAGCTAGGTCATTCATCATATTGATTTCACGACCTAGGTACACATAGCTAGAGCATTCAGAGATGGTCGTTCCGTTGAGCGTGAATGGGGCATCAGATACCAATCCGTTTCTCATGAACATCGTCTTCGTTAGATTCAGCCGTAGACCGATTTTTCCACACGCGCAGTCGAATTCAGCCAGCATTCGTTCCGCTTGCTCGATGTTTGGTGTTATCAAAACGATGTCGTCAGCAAAGCGGAGATGGTGTAGTTGCCGACCGTCGATCTTCACTCCCATGTCTTCCCATTCCAGTTGACGCATGACGTTCTCGAGAGAGGCGCTGAAGAGCTTGGGCGAGATGGTGTCGCCCTGCGGACCCCTCTCTCCACGTCCACGTCGATGATGATCTCCTTGTAGAATGGTGAAATCTGGTAGGAGAGAAGAGCAGCTGTACTGGTGGAAGCACATCCATAATAATGTGACATAATTATTTGCATCGCTTTTGAATTGTAACCAATAAAGGAAGTTCCGAGAATCTCCTAGATTCTTATGGCCAACGTGATTTTTGTAGAACCCTGAGGAAAAGGGGACAAAATCGAACCACAGACAGTCAATCTCTCACTTTAGGAGCATTGTCAACAATATGCTTGAGGGTACAATAATTTCCGTGTATGAGGTGAGAAAGTCTGTAGCTGCGGCGATTGTGCCACATTTGTCACGGAAAAATGCATGTGAAAAGTCCTCGTTACTCACTATCGGATTCGTTCTCGAATTCGAAGCTATTCTCGAACTAGTGCAGCTACTTTTTACAGTAAACACTGGTGAAGTCAGTTGAACGATCAGGAATGACCTCTCTGTGCTGATCCCACATGAGGTATTTATCAGTCTTTCGATATTTTCGACAACAACTGTACAAATAGCTTTCTGACTGTGAGAGGGTCATTATTCTCGTGAACTTAACCCGAACAGTCAGCCGACTCAACACCAAGATGGGCGATCAACTTCACAAACCTGACGAGCCGACAACTTCCGCTGCTACTGCTCCACGTGGGTTAATGCTATTTGAGGCTACCAGTCGGATCGCCCGCCTTCGGCGGGCGATCCTCCTTCCGCGTGTGAAGTGGGTCCCTGGCATTCCTACTGAGGCCCAGTCGGATGGCCTCAGTAGGAATCCCAGGGACTTTCGCGAAACTTTGACCACCCAGATCTCGTCTGGGAGGTCCCCGTAGCACTTTTAATCTGCATATTCGTAATCAGCATTCGAGG